ATTAAAAAGTCATCACTGCATCGAGTTGTATCTACGAAAAGTGTTATAGAATCGGAAGAAATAAGTTACATATCATTAGAGTCTTCAAAGAGCTCGTTTCGCAAATTACAGATTTACATATCTGTAATTTTCAAAACGGCGCACTTCTGACCTTTTGGCTCAAACTCTATATTTACAAATCATCACTGCATCGAGTCGTATCTATGAAAAGTGTTAGAATCAGAAGAAATAAGTTACATATCACTAGAGTCTTCAAAGAGCTCGTTTCGCAAATTAAAGATTTACCTATAATTATGTTATTTGCGAAATGGCGCACTTTTGACCTTTTGGCTCAAACTTATTATTAAAAAATCATCACTGCATAGAGTTGTATCTACGAAAAGTGTTATAGAATCGGAAGAAATAAGTTACATATCATTAGAGTCTTCAAAGAGTTCGTTTCGTAAATTACAGATTTACATATCTGTAATTTGTGAAACGGCGCACTTCTGACCTTTTGACTCAAACTCTATATTTACAAATCATCACTACATCAAGTTGTATCTACGAAAAGTGTTATAGAATCGGAAGAAATAAGTTACATATCATTAGAGTCTTCAAAGAGCTCGTTTCGCAAATTACAGATTTACATATCTTTAATTTGCGAAACGGTGCACCTCTGACCTTTTGGCTCAAAGTCTTTATTTATAAATCATCACTGCATCGAGTTGTATCTACGAATTGTGTTTACGAATCGGAAGAAATAAGTTATATATCGCTAGAGTCTTCAAAGAGCTAGTTTAGCAAAATACAGTATGGGTTTACGTGTTTCGTTTCATTTTGTTTCGTTTTGTTTCGCAAAATACAGTAAGCCTTAGTGACAGTACCTCATTGATGAAACCAATAGCATCCACACATTCACTAAGTTTCTTCTGAACTGACTGGACCTCCTTTACGTACTGCATCATCATGTCCATATCTCCATACTCTTTAAACTCTTCCACACGCCTGGAAAAAATAACATTCTTAACAGAAAAATACTTTCCACCAGAATTGAAATACTCTTTGAAAATCATAAATAATTTTGCCGAGCAATTGAGAAATCACAATAGCCAGAATATCTTACAAAAAATTGTCCCTTCTTGCCTGTATTTCAAGGTGCTGACCATTGATTTCATTTAAGATTTCTTGAAAATCTGAGCTAATTTTTAATTATTTCTTTTAGAGAAGATTTGCCATATTTTAATCAAATGATGAAATGTCATATATATATATTGCTTGGTGTTTAATGTTCAATATCTGTTAACAATAATAATAATAATAATGAAGATAGCAGTTTTATTAAACTTTAAAAATATGTACACAATTAATTTGGCAGGCTCTAATATTTTTGATCTGTAAATCTGAGCCAACAAAGTCTAGCTGTTGCATGTCTCCTGGATTGTGAGCCTCTCAAGCATAGGATCGCAGAGCATAGGATGGCAAAAGACTATTATCCAGGAAATTGTGCTTGAGTAACTTTTTCCCTTCTTATTTGCAATTAGCTTCTCTCAAGTCTATTGTGTTATTTGGCACACTCATCCGCCATTCCTGCTGTGGTCACGAAAACTAGGGGAGTGAACATTCATCATTTGATCTTCAAATAACTTATGTCAATAATAATTACAATAATAATAATAATGATTATGATAACAAAATTAACATCAATCATCATCATAATAACAATAATAATAATAATAATAATAATAAACATTCCTATCTTTCTCAATCTAACAGGGTGCATTTGATATTGCTGACTTTGAAGACTCAACAGGAAAATTTGAAGTAGCTACATTTAAATTCCTCAGGTCTAGTAAGTCAATTTTTCCAGTTTACAGAATTATAATGGTATATATTAATAAAATACCTCTTGATTTTGTCCAGCTCCAACATAACTTTCTCCCTTTTTTCCATCAAAGCACTTTCATTACTCTTCTGAGCAGCTACCATAATCTACAAGATCACATAGTAACTATTTCAATTCAAATAATTTAAAGGCAACAATCACTCTAAGTCAAATTTCAAACACAAAGAGAAAAATAGGCATAAAACTTTTGGCAGACCTTTCAGCGGTCAGTTTTGTTATGCAACATCTTGTTAAAAAAAAATGGCAAAATACACATTTGAAAGCAACAAAATTGTATGAATACCTCATCATTTTGATCAAAGATTGGGGCAATATTTTTTGGCCAGTTTAGAACTTCAGAGTTGAGGCTCACATCTTCTTGTGTGAATGTAAAAACATCCAATAGATAAGATAGTCGATTGAATGACTCCTACAAAAAATGGATACAGATATGATTTTTTCTATTACACTAAAAAAATTGTTTCATCTTTGATATGATTATTGAACTAGGAAGTAAGCTCTCAAACTGTTGTTTTAAATTCCATATCCTTCACAGTAAAGTATTAATTTTCATAGAAATTAACATGTACAAGATGGCAGGAAATTTGACCTTAACTGCTCTTATCTTGACAAATTCTCAGTAATCTGGCCATAAATACAAGACACTCATTCCAAGCGCTTAACCCAAATGATAGGGACCACTGTACAATCAACAAACAGCTGTTGCTCTGGTTACAAAAAACCTCATTTACAGCATTCCAAGGCCTAGTTTGCAGTTCCCAACAGACACCAAACCCATTGGAACAGGGTGAAATCTTTAATCTACAAAAGCAATATAGCTAAATGTTGTTTGAGTGGCTTCACAACTCATTTGGTTTTGGGCAAAATTTTTTCTGCAAGTCTGTCAAATGGAAAGGAAACAGAATTTGGAAATGGTTAGGAGAGTGGAAAACATGTATGATCATCCACAGGAAAGTGTGCAGTGTACACTTTCATGTGGATGGTCATACTTGTATGTATCTTCAAAACATTGATACTCATGGAAGACATGACAGTGATTCCATGTAGCCCCCATTACAACCCCCATCCATGTAACTAGGTCGGGAGAAATTTCCTGGATTAATCCCCCAACATTGCATTGTGTAGTATTGCCTACACAATATGCACATACAGGGTTTAATACCATCTCAAGTATTTACTTCAGGCACAGTGCCAAAGCTCATCAAAATTTCCCATGTTAAGTTATGTGTAAAACCTCAAATAGAAAAAAAAAGTGAAATCAATTCCCCTTAGGCCTGCAGCAGACAGTAGACTAGTGTATTCAACAGTATGAAAGAAAGATGGTGGAGAAAGTCACCTTGATGTCACTGTCAAGTTTGACAAGGATCTTTGACTTGGCTTCCTCAACAAACTTCAGCATGTCAATCATCTCACGAGTGTCCTCAGGTTTTGTAAGAGCTCGTTCTCTTACAGATTCAAATTCTGAGATGATTCTGTTGAAAAAAGATGAACCCTTAGATACACAATACATTCCTTTTAAATATCTCTTGACAACTTGGATTTCCAAAGTCCCTTGCTTTGATACCCAGGGTGTCTCAAAAACTCAGACCTCGAAAACTTAGACCCCAGACCCGAAAAACTCAGACCCTCTGGGTGTCTTGAAAACTCAGATCCGAAAAACTCAGACCCTCTGGGCGTCTCAAAAACTCAGACCCGAAAAATAAAACATATTTACACCACGTGAATGCTGCAAGCTGACTTGTTTACTGTTCGTAGATACAGTGGCATTATGTGCACTCATCATGAAAATTATCTGCTGAGAAAAGAAAAAACAGCTTGGAGTGTTAGATACATGCAACGATCATGAATATTATACTCAACATTCATATAGATTTTTCTTTTCGTTATCGTATAAGTCAAGTTTATACGTGTCCTACGTGTATACAAGTTCAATGTGTCGTGTCATTAGAAGCCATTCACGAAGTGAGTTGCGTGATGGTTTCCTGTACAAATACAGGACCGGCGTCACACAACAGTAGCCTGCTAAAATGCAACACTGCTATCCAACAAATGCCATCGTTAGGTGGGGATGACAAGAGGAAAAAATACCTTGTTGAAGCCAAGACATGCAAGAAAGGAATGTAAGAGTGCATAGTCTATCACGATCACTCCACTTGTAGTTGTCAATGTTTCAAGTATAACAGCATTTGTAAACACAGTTTGTGTGTTTCTGAAATTGAAGGCATTTTGAAAGAACAGTTGGACTACCTTTCCAGATTGCCACGGAGCTCACTTCCATCAAAAAGTAATCTTGTCGAGCCTACGAAAGATGCACAAGGTAAAAAGGGTGGAGCTCATAAAAATCCATGGAGACCAAGCTGAGGTGGTACCGCTCAGAAACACCCTTTCACGGAAATACACCACAACAACCAACCATTTGTAGTTGGTTTCCTAGATGACCAACAAAATGCAAAAGAATACAAGCATTGCAGAGTAGAATTCACGTAGAGTAGAATTCCCGTGGAGGCAGCAAATTGTACCTTTCGACATCATTTTGTCCCATTAAGAAAAGTGGATGTACCCTTCTCCCACGGATCCAAAAACCAAACTCTCCTCTGCAAAGTTCACTACAAAGTACTACTGTGTAAAGCGAGACTGTTATTACATCGAGCTTTCCTTATTTCCATTCAAGCTTTATTAACATTCCATCTGACCTTCTCAGCCATTTGCGACAATAGCACCTCAACCTGCTCGAAGAGGAGCTGGACTACCAAGAAGTTTGCTCTTCAAAGTAAAATCAAGTGATACATTGAAGATGTTGTATAATTATACAGAGGTGCACCACATCAGTGACTTTGTTTATTATCGTTCTTGTTAAATCTGTAATCTAAATCATATGTCTGTCTGTAAAAGGATTGAAATTGCTGTCATTTGGTTGAGCAAGTGTGGTTTTACCAGCAATTGATTTTCTAACCAATCATTTTGATAAGTACTTTTTATTTCAAAACAAACAGTTGCAATGTTATTTCCGTGTTCAGTTTTGCAATGTCGTTTCCGAAAAAACCTTTTAGTGAATCATACAGTAGGTACATTCAAATGCTTTTATTGAAAGGAAAGAAAATAACTCGTGTGGCTTGGAAAATGCAACCATGAACAGATAATGTCTTACTGTAATTTACCACGAATATTGATTAAAAGCTTATGTTAAAATGAAAGAAAACATAAACAAAGAACTGTTTATACACACTGTTTATACACAGTTATTCTTTAAAATGAGGGAAGTATAAGGACCCTGAAAGGTTGTATCTGGTTTCAAATATCCGCCGCTACTGTCCTGTGACGCCGGTCCTGTATTTGTACTAGAAACCATCACGCAAAGCACCTCACAAATGGCTTCTAATGACACGACACGTTGTGGATATAAACTTGGCTTATACGATAACGAAAAGAAAAATCTATACGAATGTTGAGTATAATTTTCATGATCATTGCACATATCTAACACTGCAAGCTGTTTTTTCTTTTCTTGGTAGATAATTTTCATGATCAGTGCAAGTAATGCCATTGTATCGACGAACAGTAAACAAGTCGGCTTGTGGCATTCACATGGTGTAATTATGTTTTATTTTTCGGGTCTGAGTTTTTGAGACACCCAGAGGGTCTGAGTTTTTCGGGTCTGAGTTTTCGAGAGACCCAGAGGATCTGAGTTTTTCGGGTCTGCATGGGGTCTAAGTTTTTGAGGTCTGAGTTTTTGAGACACCCTTGATACCCATTCTTCAAGAAGGATTAACCTTCTGACAATACAAAAGTTTTTCCTTCAAAAGGTTTTGTCTGGAGCTTCACAGAAGTAATTGAAACAGGAATATCATAAGCCTTTGTACTTATTCTTGCACTAAAATCTATAAACTTAATAAACAAGAGGAATTCTTTCTTTGCATACAAAAAACAGCTGAAATCAGACAATTAAAAGAAACAAAGTCAAGAAACAATATCATGAAAAACTCAAGGTGATTAAAAAAAAAACCAAGGCAAGTTCTCACACCAATCTGGTAACTAGAGTTCATATTTTTTGGAAAGAGTAGTTTTATTTAATGTTTTGAGAATTTCTCGTTTTGTACCTGGTAATGTTTCAATATTCCTGTGGCAGTAACAAATTACCTTCTGTTTTCTGTGCGGTGTTCTTCAGCCAGCCTTTGAAGCAGTTGATCTGCATAACGATTAGCCTTGGTAGCCAGGCCTCTCTTCAAATCATCACAGTCTAACTGAACCATGTCAAAATGTGCCACAGTTGGAAGTGAACTTATTTCCCAAGCAAGGGAACGAAACTTTTCAATTTCCTGTAGTTAAAACAAAGAAAATGGATTTCAATTCCTGTTACATTCATGTTACATTTATTTGAAAATTTGTCTTTTCACTAAACAACATACAATAATGTCTTGATTAGCATTGCTGTTGCCATGTATTGCTAATAAAAAAAGGAAAAATTTTCAGTAAACATCTACCAAGGAAAAGCTGCCAAGAGGCCGCTGAATGCTTATGTGTTTCTACGAATGCTTTTTAGCAGATTTTGATTTCTACTTTTCATATTCTGATTATCTGTGTTTGGTAGAAAGTATTTTTGTATCATACAAACATGAATAATTGTTTGAGCCAGATTAACAGTAGCTGAGGTAGTTACTAAAACATGGAACCACCCAAAACCATCCAAAACCACCCAAAAACCACCCATGACCACCCAAAATGAAAAAGATCATGCAAAGTCCTGCATGGGCAAGTAGGCTTAGCTATTGAGTTGAGCCTGGTTTCTAAGCAATTTCAGAAAGTGATCCCAAAAAATTGTTTTGCTCCATGTGTTAATTTTTGTCCTTGGAGTGATGTAGAATGGCGACCACATTTTTTTAATGTTTTTGTTTTGTTTTTTTGTTTGGTTTTGTTTTTTGTTTTTTGTTTTGTTTTTTAAATGAGAGGCTGTAATTTTACTCGATATTAGCTACTTCACATGCTCTCCCTCTGGAGCTAATTAAATAGACACGACATAAATTTTACCATACAGCCTGATCTGTGGTTTGGCCAAAGGCCTTTTAACCAGTGCGGCACTCCTCTTTTGGTGGCGGTGATGTTATTTCAAGTAGATCCTCTGCAGCTAGTTTTTTTTTCAAAATAACGAGCTCTCCCTTCATCAGAAACAAAAATACCGTAACAGCTCGCCATTCCTCCCCCCTCCAATAAGTCCCCCTCACGCCTATTAGAGCATTTACCATAGTTGAAAGTGACACAAACCTTATCCACTTAAAGTTCTCTTTGTTTACCAATTATTCATACTGAAAATTTTTTAAATCCCTGGCATGATCAGATAATTGGACGTTAACAGGAACTTTAACAACTGAGAATACAAGAAACATCGGCGTGTAGTAAACACAAACTCAAATTTTAACACCACTAAAATGAAAAACGTTTTGCGACCTAAGGCAAGTAAGTGTTTTAGTGTTTTTATGGTGGGATTTTATGTCTTCTACTCCAATGTCAATGTTATGTTGACGTGCTTAATACCCTGCGAGCAGAGGTTTTTTCTACTCTTCGAGGAAAAGGACAACTTTCCCTTTACTTGTAGCATGGAAGGGAGTAGAAAAAAACCTCTGCTGCAGGATACGTGCTAAAATACTACATTGAATACATCTTCAAGACACGTTTTTAATGAGGTGCACTTCTTGCGAGTGTGCTGCAATCCAGCGAGCCCTTTGGAAAAAAACATGTCACTGACTAAGGGCAGAAGTTGCAAGACACAATTCACTGAATTGAATTCAGGAAGCAGGTATTTGCTTTCTGAAATTGCTTAGAAACCAGGCTCAACTCAGTAGCCAAGTCTACTTGCCCAGGCCTTTGAGTACTTGCGTGACCTTTTTTGTTTTGGGTGGTGTTTGGGTGGTTTTTGGGTGGTTTTTGGGTGGTTTTTGGGTGGTTGTGGGTGGTTTTTGGGTGGTTGTGGGCCGGGGGGTACTCGATATATTCCTGGGTGGGGAGGTGCATTGCGGCCCCTCAATTACCCTGACCCTGTTTAAGACAAATATCGCTGATTTTCCTACTCTGTTTAAGACAGAATTCCGATTTTTGATACCCTGTTTAAGACATTTAATGTGCCTGGTATCAATGCCAAAATCAACGGAATTCAATATTAATTAAAATTAGAGCTTGTAAAAATTTTGCTGTTTATCTTCCAAGAAAAGATTTCCTGTTTAAGACAAAAATTGATAAATTCGATACCCTGTTTAAGACAAAAATCTCGAAAAAAATACCCTGGCTGGCCGCACTTCCCCATTAAGCCCTTATAAGGGAGTACCCCCCGGGGTTGTGGGTGGTTTTGGGTGGTTTTGGATGGTTTTGGGTAGTTCCATGTTTTAGTAACTACCCAGTAGCTGAAAGAATCCATCATGATGCGAATAGGAATGAAACTCAATCTCTAACTTCACTACAAAGTGATTACTGTTTGAATCCCCTAAATATGAAAAAGAGTAACAAGAGAACTAAACATGACAAAAATACATAAAAGGCAGCTGACATGATGACCCATATGAGTACTATAAGCAATACTCACAACAGGCAAGATTTCACAACAGTTTGCATTTTAAATGTTTCCATGCAGGCTTCAAGGAGAACTTTTAAAGGCTTTCAGAGAGTTATAAAAAGGGTTCATGAAATAAATTTAGGAATGTTTTTCATGAAGAGTCAAAAAAAAACTTGTGCTAAGACAATAATTTAGTTCAATGCCCCTGACTTTTACATGCAAAGGAAGTGAAATGATTACCTGTATGTAATTTTCAAAGGAGTTTTCAGATGAAATGAACTGCTCCACATGAGCTGAGGATTCCCCACTGACCAGAGCACTATACTTATCTGTCAATTCAACACAAATACATTGTACTAAATACCATAGAGAGCCCAACTAATTGAATGAACCCAATTTCACCTAAAGCTCCTGTCATTTACAATACTCAATGTAGCATAAAGAGTCAATAAGTTTTAAGGAGACCCTTAATTCCTAAACGAAAAAGACAGAGGTAAACAAGTTAGCCAGGAAAAAGCTAAACAACCAGGTCATAATTTGCCGACTTCTGATCGCGTGTAATGCTTGTTACTGACCAAGTCTCCCTCGCCGAAAAATTGCTTCACAACCACGGTTCTCTTTGAAATGTCGAAAACAGATTTTTCAAGGTCTGCGTTTCTGAGGTCTGTCTGCATTTTCGAGGTTTGCATTTTCAAGGTCTGAGTTTTCGAGGTCTGCAGTCTGCAGTCTGCATTTTCGAGGTCTGCATTTTCGACACCCTAATTTGAGGCAGCATGTTGTAATGGAGAATACAGTTCTTTGGTTACCACCAGACTGGACAAACTTGGATCTTAAATACTCATCTAAAAGCTTTAAAATCTGAATATTAAGTTTTTGTATCATTGCTTCATAGAAATAGGATATTAATTTCAGGGTTTATGATTAAGCCTCCGTGAGCCCCATGCAATGATCTGAACTAAGCTAATGTGAAACCAGTTTAATGCAACTCTTACATGTAGGTCCAAACAATATGATGGAGGTGGCAATTTAAATAACATATTTTTACTTAAAAAGACACACACCAAATCCATTATCTCCATTTTGCCCAATCCCTCTGCAAAGGTGGCACAAACATTTCCTTATACTTAAGCTACAACTTACATATTAAATAAAGATGACTGCGCTCATTTCTTACCAAAGGAATGCAGGTACTCAATTGGCTGCTGTAAGTTAAAGTTCACTGCATCCTTAAGGAACTTAGTGCATCTGAACAGAACATCATTATCCACAGCAGCATCCACACGAGTCATCGTGTTTCCCCCTGCCAACCATGACTGCACAACAGATTGAAAGCACAATAATTCTAATATGGTCTATCAGACAGGCCTATTTCTTGACAAGCTTGAAAGATTTACCAGTATGACTACCTCAAGGTACTAACAAACACTCTGGCTGATATATATACAAACTTCACTATAGTATACATATAAAACCTGCACTTCTTCACACAAAGTGAGCAAGACTGACATAGGTTGCATGTAAGTAACCAAAATAACTTTTCTTTTTCCAATAATTTAGATAGGACATGTTCTCTTCTCATAGTTATGACCCTCTAGAGCATTACTGCTCCAGAAATTCCTGTCAGCCAAAACAAATGAGCATCCTGAAATTTTGCTTTTTAGATTTTGCCAATTTTTGCACAACACTGTAGCTTTCATTCAATCATCTACAAGTTCACTTCATTCTTGAGCTACCCATGCTGACCTTTCTTTTTAATGAGCTGGCGCAGTGCACCAGAATGTGCCACTAGAGAAGGTAAGAGGCCCTAAGACACTGGTCTAATAATTTAAAACAAAGTGTGAAAGTGTAGTGTGATCATCCATGTTACCCCCGGGTTCAAACCATTTACTGAATTCAAAATAAGGTCACACTTCTTTTTTTCCTTTGTAGTAATTTTCCAGTAGTTTGTAGGAAAATTCAATCCGATACACAAATTCTATTTCAGTTGGCTGAATAAATGCAAAATTCACATATCTTAGAGCCAGTATGAGCCAAATGTTTATTTTTTTAATATTTAAAGTACTTTGGAAAAAGATAAAAAAATAAAATCATTTCATCAGGCAATCTTTCTTACCAATTTTCCTCCAAAAATAGGGGTGACCCTAAAAGCTGGAATGGCAGAATGCCCAATGGCAGAAAAATAACCCCAAATCCAAAAAGACAGAATGGCCAAAAATTGCCCCAAATCCTTTAAGTCAGATGGAATGACAGAAAATTACCCAAAATCCTAAATGATAGAATGGTAGTATTTTCCTTTGCTACACTGTAGCAGTGTTCTAGTTGTGTACATAAATGATTGAGATTGATTGTCACTCTCTTATTTTCTCCTCGTGAGTATAACTTCTGTAGAAACTAAACCAATACCCAAAATATTACCTTTGTTCGGAATTAATGTGTAACATCATGTTGTTAGCTGTTCTGAGTTTGTTTTCAAGAAGTGATTTTCTGTGGTTATAGAGGTGTTAGATGGGCTGACAGGTTGAAAGCAACCCTTGCTGTTTTGGTAGTTAGGTTATTTTCAAAGTAGCTGACCTTTTTTTGACCTTTGCTCTGATGAGCATGCATGTCTTTCATTGATTTTCCCCCTTTTAGAGGAAACTATTGGAAGCTAATCTCCTTACACTTAGGCTACTTCTCTATAATTTGCCAGTTGTTCAATAAAACCTTTTTAAGGCTGCATGGTCACTGACAGGTTATATATGATATAACAAAAGGCATTATGGTTAGTCACACTTTGTTTTTCTTCTGAAGTGTTGTTTTCCTGTTAGAGAAATCAACCCCTGTGAGGATACTATTCAGCTAGATTAAATTTGGAAATTAATTGCCATTTGGAGTGGTTTAGATGTTCTCTTCAAAGCTTGTTTTTAACATTGAGTTTCTCCAATGTAAAAGACTTCATAAGATCAGTGTATAGTTTCAATTCCTTACTCCTTTTTCAGAATATTAGTGTACAGGCTAGTTAAACATCCAAAGGGAATAAAATCACACTTTGTGGGACTTATGTCCTTACTATTAAATTACTATAAGTAATTGGTCATCACTATATTAAGTTTAATGTCTTGCAGTGAATCTTTGAGAAATAACTTCTATGTTTTGGCTATTGGCTGAAGAATGTATACAAAATATGATATTTCTGTTGCCTCATTGAAATAACATGAGTTTTTCCTTACAATTCTTGTCCCCACCACTACCCCTGGAATGTACCAAAATAAAATACTGTCAGTGGTAATTGTTCTGTTGTTTAGGATTTGGGGTATTTTCCACTAGTCCTTCAATTTTCCACTGTTTCGGCTTTTAGGGTCACCCCAAGATAGAAGTTTATGTGTTTTCTGGTATTGTTTTTTGTTTGTTTTTTTTGGTTTGATTCTTTTCTCTGTTATGGAAAAGAATTGATGGGCAAAAACAAGGTAATCAGGACTAGCTTGCTTTAAAGACATACCTGTACCGTAGGAACTTGCTGCATGGTTCTAGTAACTGTGGATATGACATGCAATACTGCTGCCTCGACATCATCAAGTGCAGGATAGAACTGCATGTGGTCGTCATCATCCAAGATCAATTCCATTTTGAAAAGTGGAAGACAACTTTTGCTGTTCTCATGAAACAGATCTGTCCATTCAGTTATGGTTCTGTTTATGAGGTCCTTTAGCTAAGAAAAACACGCACAATTTGTTGGAAAATCAAATCTTGTTTTCTTTAAATTCATAAGCAAAAGATGGATCAAAGTTTAGAGTATACACTGCACTCTATAATACCTGGTTAGAAATAAGTGTAGAGACACTGTTGTAAAAGGCATCAACTTGTGAAGAGCTCATGTGCTTCAGCATATCTTTGTCAATAAAAACATTCACCACTTCTGGGAACCAGCTAATTGCAATGAAAACAGTTAATATATTAATGATCAAAGTCAGAGTCAAATACACAGCTGTTAGGAGGAACACAACTGACAAGTCCCTCTACACTCCACAGAGGTAATGAAATCTGTATCTGCACTATGGTTAGAATTGACTAGTTTCTAAGTTTGTCTCTGTTGAACCTCACTGACAAACCCTTAGCCTGCTAAGAGTTTTGTGGTTGGAGATCAATCTTTTTATATGAATCAGATATCAAGAGCCTGAGAGGCATGATCTTCACTCTTTCGCCAAAAGGTTAAATGCATAACACAATGAAACATTAAAAGGTAAAGCCGAGCATCCTGAATTAAGAGAGGATCAAACCCACAGATATTCATTGCAGCACTTCAATAAAGTAAGAGAGTATGTATGCAGCCATGGAATACATGTAAATATAAATTCATTTCATCTCAGATGGGATCGGAAGTGAGAGTGAGAGATCAAGACAAATCAAAATCTAAATCGATTCTCAAGATCTCACAAAGTACTCACAATTACCTATGCATTAGCTTTTCTTCAGTCTTCTCACAATCAAGGGTTACATTATTCTTGAGGTGCTCACATTCAATAGAGCCTTGAGTTCTGCAAAAAATATAACCAATATCCTGTATATATCCTTGTAAGGTGAAACAAAGTTCAGTCAGTTAACAAGCCAAAAAGCATTAGTATGTCCAGTCAGTTAAGCAGAATGTGACTTAAGAGTATTGTAACCACCCCCCACCCCATCGAAAAAATGCAGGTAACAACACCCCCCTCCCTCCCCCACATTTCCTCAGCTTTGCCAATTAGTATGCCAACACCCCCATCATAATCCTGCCTGGAGAGTGGCTATGTAAGGGTACAATGTCTTGGGCAAAGGAACAATACAATGGCCTTACCAGAGCTCCATCCTGCATCTTCCAATTGGCACTACTAACTGTAACGCATTGTATACTGTATTTTGACAATTTGAAAATACCAAAATGTTAAAAGCCATCTTTGCTAAATGGAATTGTAAAATGTGCAAGCCATATCACTGAACAATGGCCCAGGTAATTAAAAAGCTAAAAAAAAAAAGAAGCATGTTCAACTCTTCATAACAAGTGGATGCATGTAAAACAAATAATCTCACTTACCTCAGATTGGACTGATCAGTTATCAGCATGGTTGAGTAATTCTTACTCTGACAGATTCCCAAAATTGTTTGCATTGAAGGATGTAAAATGTGTAGATTTTGCTTAATTGATTCTCGGGCAGCATTGAAACTCTCTCTCCATGGACTGGAATAGTCAATTCCACTGGATAAGAGAACAGAACAATTTATTCTTGAAAGTGGTCATATATGCGATGTCTAGTTCAAAAGAGAGTTATTACATTTAATCCTCCTTGGTACCATCTTTGTTATGATAGATTATCATGTCATTTCCCTTTAAAGGCTCTATATAGTTATGTATTATAATTGCCTAAAATATAGTTATGTTAACTAATGGTATGTCAAAGTTAAGAGGTACAGGGACCTCTCAAGTTTGTAGCCCTGGTTCACTTCCCTGATTGAGCTTCAGAAGTTGAGTCGAGTTTCATTTTGGGACCCACCCTTGTGAGAGGGGGGAGCTGGAACAAGGGAGTCACAGCCTCCCACTTCTCATACCATATTTTCCTGCTTCCCATATTATTGGGGCGCTTAGCCTCCTCACTCCTGCCTTTTGTTGTGTTCTCATATCTTCAGATTGATAAAAAGGATTTGAAACCTGAGTAGCTTTTGACAACATTTGACCTGACTTTCTCTGTACCGTAGATAATTTTGTCTGCTAGAGCTTGCAAGAAATTGACAAATGTGTACGTGTACAGTTCATGTAATCTCATTCATGATCTATAATGTAACCCACCTCAAGTGTTATCCCATCTCAACAGCATTAATGCTGAGTACAAATTTACATTCACTCATGTAAAAAAGTTCCTCCTAAGCCTTGGTGGATGTTAAATGGAAGTAAAAAAACTTTGCTGGGTACAAGTTTTTGACTGGATTATAAGCCAGAATAAGCTCCTGCTTCCTGCCCTCTCCTGCCCCCTGTTCTCCCATGCTCCCACCCCCCTGTTCCCCAACAAGACTGTGAAAAGCACAGTTTTCTGTTTGTCAGTTGGAATAAATGGGTGTCTCAAGAAGAACAATTTGCTGACAAAATTGAAGATAAAAAGCTGCCAGAATTTAACACGTTCCTCAAGCAATTTTTATGATAAACTAAAAAAAAAAAACATTCCATTTCAGAAAGCTTGTCATTGTTATCACGTGAAAAAAAACTAAGCAAGAAAATTTCATTTAACTCTGGGCCAAACTGTCTTCTTGATCAAGTTTTCTAGAAGAAAATCTAAGAAAAGCTACAGGGCTTTTTTTACCACATACTACAAGCAGCTTACAGTAAAGTAGCTGATAAGTCTCTACTGAGAGTTATAGAATTGATACAAGTCAACCACCGGGTAAAAACTTTACATTTGGGAATTTATTCCTGTCTGTGTTTAAAAGCATTGCATATTGTAGCATTTTGGGAAGACCCACATGTCCAGTTCGTCAATCTTTTTTCAAGTAAATTAAGTGTACAACCTTTTTCTCCAAGCTTTCAATTTCCTGCCTGGCAGTCATAAAAATTTCAATTAAAGCAGACTTAAACCAATGTGTTGGGCTAACATCTACCTTTGTATAAAGAGGGGGTGAAAAGACATTTAAACGTATCAGCAGATTATGACAGTATTTTTGCCCAGATTTAAGTTTCAAGCAGATCCAGCAATTGCAGCAGTTTGCAGTTCTTAGAGACTTTTTGGATCCAGATTATGGATTTTGCTTGTGATTAAGTTTGGATCCTGGATCTCAGCAATCCTCAGAAATATTTTGTTTAGTTTGCTTGTGTGTGTATGTGCACATTACTATACATTTTCTAACAACAACAAACATATGAAACAAGAATCACCAAATGTCACTCAGTAAGGAAACAGTAACACACTTTGGCCAAGAAGCTGTAACATGTTGCCAGTGGGACACACTGTCTTAACAGGTACTCATTTAGTGTGTTCATTTGGTGTGAGAATGACTTACGTTTTTATCCAACACACCATAGCTCAAAGTATGTTTTTCACAAATCCACATATTAAGTAGCAAACAGACTCAGATTTGACATTTTTTTTTTAAACTGATCTACAGATTGGGCTGTTACATTACAGTGGATCTCATTCATCCCCTGTCTTTAATTTTGCCTTTCTCTTGTTCGACTATCCCCTGCACAGTGAAAATTTAATGCACATAAATAGAATTTGAGTACATTAATTAATAGAAAAATCAATAATATCCATAAAAAAATAAAAATGTTGAATTTTAATGGTTAAAATTTAGTGTTAAATGTGCATCAAAGCATATACATGTACAAGCAGCTGTATTGATACAAAATAAACCAATGAGAAACTGACCCAAACAGAGTAAAATCCATAAAAAAAATAAAAATCTTGAAAAAAATTAAAATCCTGGCATTTTTAACTCTTAGGTTATTTCGGGCAGCCAGTGCCCCTATCATTGTCTGTACTATTATTATAAATCTTTCTTTCTTGTATATTTTGGGGTGAAAAAAATAAAGTTGTTGTTGTTGTTGAGTCCTTTCATAATGACAGCATGACTATATGCAAATATATAGTGAAAATACTAATGTTTTTCAAGGCCAGACAGGCTAATTTTCATGAATGTAGAAAATACCAATTAAAATCACCATATATAAAGAGGTCTATCACATGCTATTATAACTTCTTCTTTATTAAAGAAAAAAGAAAGGGACCCTGTAAACTTACAGGACTTCATCTGGTAAATCTTCATCAGCTTCAACTCCTTTTACCTTTGGTTTAACCAGGATATGTTGAACTAGAAGAAGGAAAAGGCAAGTTGGCATTTCTCTCCAAATGTAGGAGAAGTATGTTCTGTTACAAAAAAATTATATGAAATAATAAAAAAAATAATAAAACACTGTCACTTGAAAGAACATAAGTTGTAACAAGTTCACCAGCTAAAATATTTTTGAGATTTTTAAGAGAAAGGTAAATTCACAAGCTGCCTTCAAATGTGTCAAAAATTCAACTCCAAATGTCGCGATTTTTTAGGAGAGGCTGGAGAGAGCCTCATGTAATGTGCAGGATGTGGATCAGCAAAAGTTCATAGACTTGCTTAAATTCATTCTCTCCTAATCTTTACCTTAGTTTAAGGCCTCACTGCTACATCTACTACATTTACTATTGAAGGACAACTAGAAACAATTATTCTACGTAATTTTTAGGATATTATCTCTTATTGAGATGAGAACTGCAACAAGTTAAATCTACTCACCCATTGCCTTTCTGATACTGGCGTCATACTCAGCAATGATTTCATCATATAACTCCTTGATGTTTGGCTGTAGTTGTGGAGATAATACCAATTTTGCTGGAATCATAGTTAAGATGGTATCCCACCACTCATTCGCCATTGATGTCACAGGGCCTTCTTGAACACACTTCTTCATGAATTGGTAGTTTAGCTACAACAGAAAATCGGACTTAGAACTTGACAAGTCCTGACTTTTTTATGTGCTACAGTGTATTGAATTGAATGAAAAGTTCTCAGATTTCATGTTTTTCAAGGCTTATTTGCCCACTTGTTTCTCAGTGACTCAGTAGATTGGGAAACCTTACGTTTTTGTGCTGCTGATTAATGTTACACTCCACTTTTGGAGTGTGACTTAATTAATATACATTAGCTTTTGTATTTGTGTTCTAAACTCCCCAACTTGACTGGCAACAAGTCTAGAAGCTAATGCAAGCTTAATCAGTGTTGAAACTGCCTCACTCCTGTGCCTAGTGCAAGTTCAGGCATGCACGGCACGGGTTCAATAAAAAAAATGTAACTTGAGGTTTTCGAGTAAGTTAGTTGAGTTTTCATCGATTAAAATTGATATCAAAAGACAGTTCGAGTGATCATTACAATCAGGAAGATTTAAGCTACACCAGTACTGTTGGAGTCATTGTTTCCCAGCAAGGCACTGAGGTTTTCAGTTGCAGAGCACAAGATATACTTTCTGGATATCTGCACTCATCTATATTACAAATGACCACACTTACTCGTGTTCGCCGTTCAGTGCTCATCATCTACAACAGAAAGAAAATATAAAAATTCATATATTTAATAAACTCATTTTCTGACATAATTTGTTTTTATCAACTGAGTTGAAAAAGTAAATTGGCCACTGTAAAGAGTTTAAAAGCTTTTTTCAGCTTTAAACTTTTTACGGTAATTATGATAATTTACATTATCAATTCAGTTGATTATATAAACCAAATTATCTTGTTACCCCAACCAATGCAGACCCACAGTTCCTTTAGAAATTTGATACCCCTTTCTTTATTTTTCCTGAATACCATATATACCACCTTCAGCACACCTTCTGGTCACATATCCTTTTGGGGGGTCAGAGATCAGATTTCTGGCTACTAACACCCCTAACACCTTCCTAAACAATCCAGCAATTTTATTCAACATCTACTGTCTGGCACCCAAAACATGATATGGCTTTGAAATTAATCGTTTACTCATGAAGCAGTGAATGTTAAATGAAAATATCTGATCTAGAACAAACAGAGAAAACCAGTCAAGAAGAGGTATTTATTTTTACAGATAAAAAATAATGATACTGATATATTCCATAAACCAATTCAAAGTGTGATGGAAAAACTTGCAGCTTTAAGGCCTTAGGGATTTCAAATACCTAAACTAATTATCTGTTGTGGTTTCAGCATGCTTCCTTGTTCTTCCCCTTACACCAGATACAGTGTGCACCCCTGCAGTTCAAACATTTTCCTTACAGGGTAGTAAGTGCAATATCTAAGTTTAAACATACTTGAGAGGGCATTTCAGGTTCCCCAGCCAATATAGGCCTTCTCTTCAGACTTTCCTCTGTATCTTCTTTGCCTTTAAAGGCTATTTCATACCTAGTAAATAAATGCAAATAAGAGAGACCAAGAATAAATAACTCCTGAACAATTTCTGTAGATAAAACACATTCTACAAAAGCAAGTTTTTAAGCAGTGTGACCCTTAATCAAATAAAAAGTTGCATGGTAAGAGTTCAGGTTGTTCAGACACAACAATTAAAGGAGCATCTCTGTAATGGCCAGAAACCTGAATCATGTTGACTCACTTTAATTTAAGCAATTATAGCTAAGATTAGGTCTTTTGCTTATGAAATGTTTATATGGGTAATTAAGGCTTTAATTGTATCACCCTTAAAAAGGTCGGACACCAAAGACTTATCACAATGTACATGTGTCCATCATTCACTTTGGTCTTTACAGTTTACATATTAATGACTTTGCTATAATCACTAATCCTACATAATTTCAGTGGACACCTTGCACCTTGACACCAGGGAAGGCTGGCAAGAGTTCCTTTGAAGTAGGTTGAATACAGGTTTCACTCCATTTAAAAGCCACCCTCAGGTTGTCTTTCATAATCTAAAAATAACTGACTTGTGTTCAAGATCACTCACAATTTATTTGTCAAGAGCCCTTGCATGTTTTCACTTCTCCTGTGTGTTCTTAGATGACTTTTGTCAAACCTTGAGCTGGTTGAAGTTGGAGCAGCAATGGGTGGAAGGCGAGGAAGTTTACCCTCTGAGCTTGAGCGGTGAGATTGCTTGTTTGTCATGGACATCTGAGATGGTAACAGCAAATCATATGATTGATGAGTTAGGTAAAAAATTATATCAGAGCCAAAAAATGTGTAAGGAACTACCCTTAACAATTGGTAACATTCTCAAATAAGGCCACATAAAGTGCTTTGTAAACAAAGTCCACTAGCTCTTTGATAATTCAACTATTTCACAGCTGGCTTTCCTGGAGCCTTATGCACTGAAACCTCACAAACCTGGAGCCTTACACTCTCGTGGAGTTCTGTTCGATTAGCATAAGAGTGCCGCAAAGGTATATCATTCTTGTGAACAATTCTAATTAAAGAGATAACATATTTTTGCTTTTAAGTGGCTTGTCAGCTTAGCGGTGACAGGGATTACCTGAGAGGCCACAAATTATAACTACTTGTTCTTACAATGACTTTGTGGCTGTAAAATTTCTGATTTAATGGCCAATCAATCAATCTCAATCCTTGTATGTTGGAACAATGCTACATAATGCTAATCAACCTCTGTAATTCAATATCATAAGTCAGTGAGTTGAGCAAAAAACCCTTTGAAAAAAGTATAGAAAATTTACACCCTCAGCATTTCAGGAAAGATAAACATGCTTGAAAAACAATCCTTATAATCTAAACACCTTGCACCAACTGCAGCAAAATAAACTCATGGTGGAGATCCACTTTCCCGACTGGCCTCCTAACTAGCTAAATTTTGGACTTAAAGCTGTCTGGTTTTCATTATCCACAAAGGAGAAACATTCTAATTGCCATCACTGAGGTATTTGGTAATATGCATCCATTCATGAATCAACTAGCTTGGAATTATACAAAACGACAATTTCTTGCTTATAGACTGGGCACCATCACCACATTAAGTATCAAGAAAGTTGTGTTTTTAACTTTTGTCAAACTATATCATAAAGGGCGAGGACTCACCCCTGCATGAATGCATCGAATTTTTGTCAACCGATATCTATCGCAAACTTCTGTTTATTTGGTGTGCCCAACGTCCACTTTCAATATATACAAACTGAGCACTTTCATACCAAAAAACTTTCCCAAAAGCGCGCAAAACAAAAATCTGTTTGCAATCCTCTGGGAGGGGGAATATTTCTTGTATTCCCCTAACATTGCTATTTTCTCCAAGTTGAGTTCAGGATATCCCATAGCCCGACTAGAGTGTACACAGAATTACCCTAGATTCTTCACGGTTTTTGCTGAAAGTTTCAGCCGAGTAACCAAAAGAACTTTCAAGTCGCGCGTACGTGCAATAAATAACGCGATGTGAAACTGTTTGTCTGAGTTTACCTGGAGATCATGTTTAAAGTTCGACTGTCTTATCTAACAAACATTCTCGGTTACAAAGTTGAGTTAACATTAGGCTGAGCCAGAGCATTATAATCCTTTTTATCCGACCGTCCCCATTGTTTTTGTGGATTTCTAGTGCTTTGTTTACTGTGATCGTTACCAACTTGAACCGCTGCGAGAGAAAATCATAGACTGAGACAGCCCTCTTTAGAAAAAAAACCGTACCTTTTATCACTCTTTTAGGAAAAATTTCCTCTTTGAAGCTTGATTTCACATAATGAAGTTACTGATATCTACAACTTTCTCTGCATCTCAAATAAACTATGGCTGCCATGGGCAATCCAGTCTGTTGTTATAGTGATAGTGTCACTCTTCCCCAGGGCCTTATAAAAACGTGAGAACTCTGAAAACACCAAGCAGACTCGTGGGTCAAGGAAAGGACCTTGAATAAATCAGAAGACCAGTCGTTTTGATATCCATAGGAAAGTAAATAAATAGTTTCTTAAAGTTTCTCCCTGAATTAAAAGCTAAGAGTCCTTCCGCGTATTTACCAAACAGGGAGTTTACCCTCCACGTGCTCAGAACAAAAAGTACATCTGATGCAGATTTCCTTAGGTTCTATTAACAAAGAAAGAAAATTGAAAGCAAATTGCGAGGTTTTGCCAAAAAGAAAAAGCATTCTTCCTTATCCGGGCCCGTTCGCCTCACATTTTCGATTATGAAAATGAGCGTAATAAAAGAAGAGCGGGTTGGGCCAAGCGGCACATCGTGAGCTGGCAAATTGAGAGGGAAATGAGAGGCCTCGTCATAGCTGAGCACTACCCTTAACCTGGGCCTTTAAAGATACAGGACAACCCGGCAGTATATGGTTGGGCCCTCTATTCACTAATAGGTAAAACAGGGTGTGGGAGGTCTGAAAACTGCGTCGTTAGTCTTGTTATCGCATTTTGTGCTACAAGGACTTGTAGTAGAACTGTCGTTACACAAATGCAGAGAGCCCTTCCCTTACCATGCTGGCTTTAGAGACGGTCCATTTTGGTTCTAAGCGAGTGGGGTGGATCTTCATACTATGTTTCATTCTTTTCTGCAGTGAAGGGGGAGCTGAGATTACCCTGCTGGCAGAGGCGTCTGCCAGCAGGGTAAGCTGAGATGAGCCGGACCTTAAAGGGCTGAGATGAGACTTCCTTTTGGACTTATTTTTCAAAGTTTGATTCTTTCAGTTTTTACATATGCTATTGAGGTCTGGGGGTGTGCTTTTTATAGTAAATATTTAAGTAGAATTGATAAGCTCTTTGCCAGGTGTTATAAGCTGGGTTACTGCTTAAAGCAACACAGTATCTTGGATATCCGTTGTAATAGAGATAAGAAATTATGGCAAAGGATCTCTTCCACCAACACTGCGTTGAGCGATCTCTTACCTCCCCAGAGAACACGGCAGTTGAGAACTAGGTCGCATAATTATNNNNCCCCCATCAATTTGATAGACACTACACAAAGATAAACCACAACACTGGGCAGTACGTGTCCTACTCTTTTCGAACAGTGTGTGGGTTCTTTAACGTCCCACAAACTTCTTTTCACATACAAGGGCTTGTGAGACGGGGCCTCCATTTATCGTCCCTATCCGAGAAGACTAGAAATTCTGACCATTTGCAGATATTATTACAAAGGCAGCACTTTCTTCTCAGTTATTTAAAGACCCTGAGTGCACAGGGAGCCCAGACAAGCGACGAGTCTGGTTGTTTATTCGAAATATAAAGGAATGTATGGGAGAATATTGAAGAGTCTTATTATCGTAAACTCATATCATGAAATGTCTGAGTTAAAGCTCAAAATAAATGTAACCCTACCTCACTTGCTGTGTATTGTCGTTTTTGTGGCTCTAAATGGCGAATTTGAGGGATTTAGTAATATAATACTCATGTATGTTGCACGATATGTCCTAGCTAACCTTGTTCTACCAGTTATCTTCGTCTTCTTTGAGTTGCCCCTGTTCTACCTCATTAACCCCCATCTACCCTAAGTTACCCGTGTTTTACCATATTGACTCTCATCTACCCAAAGTCGCCCATGTTCCACCACGTCGTTAACCCTCATCTACCCCAAGTAACCCATGTTCTACCCCGTTTACCCTCATCTACCCCAGATAACCCATGTTCTACCACGTTTACCCTCACCTACCCTAGGTAACTCATGTTCTACCACGTTTACCCCCATCTATCCTAGATTAACCATGTTCTACCAGGTTAACCCCCATCTACCTCAGGTTAGCCACGTTACACCTCGTTTACCCCCATCTACCCTAGGTTAGCCATGATCAACCACGTTTACCCCCATCTACCCTTGGTTTACCGTGTTTTGCCACGTTCACCCTCATCTACCCTAGGCATCCCATGTTCTACTCTGTTTACCCTCATCTACCCTGGATTAACCATGTTCTACCACGTTAACCCTCATCTACCCTAGGTAACCCCTGTTCTACCACGTTAACCCCCATCTACCTTAGGTTAGTCATGTTACACCTCGTTTACCCCCATCCACCCTAGGTTAGCCATGTTCTACCACATTCACCCCCATCTACCCTTGGTTAACCATGTTTTGCAACGTTCACCCTCATGTACCCTAAGCAACCCATGTTCTACTACGTTTATCCCCATCTACCCCAGGTTAACCATGTTCTACCANACACTACACAAAGATAAACCACAACACTGGGCAGTACGTGTCCTACTCTTTTCGAACAGTGTGTGGGTTCTTTAACGTCCCACAAACTTCTTTTCACATACAAGGGCTTGTGAGACGGGGCCTCCATTTATCGTCCCTATCCGAGAAGACTAGAAATTCTGACCATTTGCAGATATTATTACAAAGGCAGCACTTTCTTCTCAGTTATTTAAAGACCCTGAGTGCACAGGGAGCCCAGACAAGCGACGAGTCTGGTTGTTTATTCGAAATATAAAGGAATGTATGGGAGAATATTGAAGAGTCTTATTATCGTAAACTCATATCATGAAATGTCTGAGTTAAAGCTCAAAATAAATGTAACCCTACCTCACTTGCTGTGTATTGTCGTTTTTGTGGCTCTAAATGGCGAATTTGAGGGATTTAGTAATATAATACTCATGTATGTTGCACGATATGTCCTAGCTAACCTTGTTCTACCAGTTATCTTCGTCTTCTTTGAGTTGCCCCTGTTCTACCTCATTAACCCCCATCTACCCTAAGTTACCCGTGTTTTACCATATTGACTCTCATCTACCCAAAGTCGCCCATGTTCCACCACGTCGTTAACCCTCATCTACCCCAAGTAACCCATGTTCTACCCCGTTTACCCTCATCTACCCCAGATAACCCATGTTCTACCACGTTTACCCTCACCTACCCTAGGTAACTCATGTTCTACCACGTTTACCCCCATCTATCCTAGATTAACCATGTTCTACCAGGTTAACCCCCATCTACCTCAGGTTAGCCACGTTACACCTCGTTTACCCCCATCTACCCTAGGTTAGCCATGATCAACCACGTTTACCCCCATCTACCCTTGGTTTACCGTGTTTTGCCACGTTCACCCTCATCTACCCTAGGCATCCCATGTTCTACTCTGTTTACCCTCATCTACCCTAAGTTAGCCATGTTACACCTCTTTACCCCCATCTACCCTAGGTAACCCAGGTTCTACCACGTTAACCCCCATCTACCCTAGGTTAGCCATGTTCCACTTCGTTTGCCCCCATCTACCCTAGGTTAGCCATGTTCTGCCACGTTTACCCCCCTCTACCCTAGGTTAACCACGTTCTACTACGTTAACCCTCATCAGCCCTAAGTAACCCATGTTCTACCACGTTTACCCCCATCTACCCTGGATTAACCATGTTCTACCACGTTAACCCTCATCTACCCTAGGTAACCCCTGTTCTACCACGTTAACCCCCATCTACCTTAGGTTAGTCATGTTACACCTCGTTTACCCCCATCCACCCTAGGTTAGCCATGTTCTACCACATTCACCCCCATCTACCCTTGGTTAACCATGTTTTGCAACGTTCACCCTCATGTACCCTAAGCAACCCATGTTCTACTACGTTTATCCCCATCTACCCCAGGTTAACCATGTTCTACCATGTTACCCCTCACCTACCCTAGGTAACCCATGTTCTACTAAGTTTACCCCCATCTGCCCTAGGTTAACCATGTTCTACCACGTTAACCCCCATCTACCCTAGGTTAGCCATGTTCTACCACGTTAACCCTCACTACCCTAGGTAACCCATGTTTTGCCACGTTTACCCCCTCTACCCTAGGTTAACCATGTTCTACCACGTTAACCCTCATCTACCCTAGGTAACCCATGTTTTACAACGTTTACCCCCCTCTACCCTAGGTTAACCATGTTCTACCATGTTAAACCTCATCTACCCTAGGTAACCCGTGTTTTACAACGTTTACCTCCCTCTACCCTAGGTTAACCATGTTCTACCATGTTAACCCTCATCTACCCTAGGTAACCCCTGTTTTACAACGTTTACCCCCCTCTACCCTAGGTTAACCATGTTCTACCACGTTAACCCTCATCTATTCGCATGAATAAATATTTGATTGATCTGCATTTAGTGGGATTTGGCTGTTTTTCAATTGGCGCGCGGAAGAAAATTTAGTGGTGAACAATAAAGACAACAGATTGTTTATCGGTCTGATAGTTGCCTCTTGGAAATTTGATGTTGTTTAAACTAGCATATTTGCCCTCAGATAGTGAATTTTTAACGAGTTTTGTGACCTGAATAGAAAGACATTGTTATTGAATGGTGAAAATGATCCATTTCGCATTTACTTTAATACGATTTAAGAAATAAAAGAAGGCCAAAGTCCTCGGTCAAATACTGATTTGAAATGGTTAAATGTATTTTTGTGACATGAAAGTGGTCACGTTTTTTCCGCGGGGTGAAAATAGTCGATTTCGAAAAATAGTAACTCTTCTTATCTTACTACTTTGCAAAATGAATAAAAATCCTTCTTATTAATTGACGATTACTCCAAAATCATCGTGAAAGTTATCTTTACCTAACTAGAAAATATACCTGCATTATTCTTTTAGTTTTGTTACATCTCGCAGGGTTTCGTTTCGTTTCGAAAAATATTGTACAAGTAAGCGGCCGTCGATTTGTTGTTCAATACGCCTGTAAATCCACGTGTTTTTTTGAATAATTACACAACTGAATTTACCAGAACATATGGTACCGCCTGAGAAATGATCGATCTGATTTACAGTTCTGATTGGTGGCGAAATGTCTTCCATAAAAAAGAAAAACAGATCTGGCCGGCTTGTAATAGTGACCCGTAGTTAAATAGTTTTCCCTCAGAGATATCATTCCAAACCGTCTTCCGTTGACTTCAGTCAGAAACAGTAACTTAAATAATAAAAACTTGCAATACTTTACTTTGTAACTTTACTTAGTCGTGATACCAGGGGCGTTTCTCTCTACCC